AAGCAGAAACAAATACAGAGTTTAGAGCATTTGCGGATTCATCAAGTTTGATTATGCGATTGTTTGCATTTTCAAGGGTGGTTGAGAAATTGTCTCTTTTGTTCACTATACTCCAAAATTGCTTAGTGTTGGTAATTAAAAAAGATGGTAAAGTAGTATTGAAAAATAAATCCTTGGCATTATTTAGGGCTTGTTTGTACTCCGTAGCTACGGCCTGATAATCACTCCAACGTTGTTGAGTGCCAGTTACCTTTGCAGAGCTGAAAATCCGTTTTTTTTCTTATTGCGTAGTCGTTTAACCGATTGACTGAACCATGGTGATTGCAGGTTAGATGTGATGACTATGCTGGCACATATTTTTCTATAAGTGATAGACCCTTTTCTTTGAATTAAGTCCACTTAGTACTAACAGAGCGATCATAAGAGTTGTGCATGTAATCACTTAAAAAAAGCTGAAAGATCATGATTAATAGCATCATAATCTGCACGCTTTTAGTCTTGGATATAATTTTTGTGGTTCCTACTGTGAGGTACTGTGCAGGTGAAAGAAAAATTAGGCAGCAAATGGTCACTTAGCCCCTGTAAGTAGGATATGGAATGGAAAAGATCAGACGCAGTGGTAAGCACTAAATATAAGATGTTAGATGTGGTGACGTAATTCTTCTTGCCTGTGTCACTAGCTGGGACAAGTTAAAATCGTTGCAAAAATTCAAAAACGGGTCTCCTGTACCGGAAAAAGGATGACAAGCGGATTGCACGTTTGACCAAACTATATTCGGGATATTGAAGTCGCCTAGTAAAAGGAGCGTACTATTCGGACACCGTACTGTTAGCATGGAAGTGACATCATGAAGCACGTCAACAAAAGTGGATGAACAAGATGGTGGTCGATAACAAGCGCTCAATATCAGCTTCTCTTAACACGTTTGTATTTCAACCAAAACACGTTTCAAAGCACTACTAAAATGAATTGGAAAAGATGAAATCGTGTCTGAAACCACGATAAGCACACCGCCGCCACACCGAACATTTATGTCCCAACGGTATATGTTGTAGTGTTTTTTTGCAATTAAATAATTCACTGTTATCAACCTGCGCAGACAACCAGGTTTCAGTAAAGCAGAATATGTCGGCGTTAGAACCATTGATAACACAGCAGAAATTGTCAAGTTTTGGAATTAGGCTTCGAATATTTGTGAAACGAAACGGAAGTTGGTTTGTGACTGGTATCTTTGATCCACTTCCCCTCGTGTAGCGCTATTGGGTGTTGTGCGACACAAATGTACGCGGTGACTCATGCGAGAGATGTGAAGTTTTGACTGATGACATAAAGGATTCGGAGATTTCACGCACGCGATCATCACAGGGGTTGTATATGTAGCACTTTCTATTTACGTACAATTTGTTAAGCTTCGATCTTGAGGATTGGGTCTTTCCAAATTCAGTCAGTTTCTTTCTAGCAAGGCGAGTAGTTGGCGAATAGTCTTCACTAACGGCAACATTTACTCCTTTCAGCTGCGAACTACTCAGAAGTATTTGCTGCTTGAGCTTGAAGGAAGCATGAAGGCAATGATTGGCTGGCACTTATTGGAAAAACGCTGCGTCTCTTCCTGAAATTCCTCATTCGCGACGACTTTGCGCTCTACTTCAGTTAATCGTTTCTCCAAACAGTACGATTTTTTTGAAAATTCGCCTGTGTTTCTTTAAGCTCATCAACAGATTTGATTAGATCTGTCTAGACTCTCTGCGTTTTTTCGGTACGCGTGTTTACAGCTTGTAACATCTTGAACATATCATTCTTAGTCTTTGAATCAGTAAGAGGGCTTTGTACTTGCACTCTAGTGTTAGGTCCGGGATTGAGCTCAACATCACTGGACAACGTAAGTAATTGAGTTACAACGTCAAAGCATTCATGAAAAACAGAAAACAAAACTCCCAGGCTTGGGAACAGCAACAAACAAACGTTATTCGACTTTTTAGCATACAGAGATGTAGCCGAACTAACCTGAACGACAAAGCAGAATTGATTAGTGAACTGCATCGTAGTGCTGTTGACACGTCCACTGAAGGCGCCGAGATTCCGCCAGCTCTTCATATATGCTACCGTCGATGATGTTGTCTTCGATCCGATTCCTTCCTTTGGTAGAGGGATGACCGTAAACACGTCGCTGTCGCACGGGCAGGCTGGTACATTCATATCATTGAGATGGCAGGACAGCCTGCTGGTGTCGCTTATCGCTGAAGATATCGGTACGGTGGTGAAATGAATCTATGCCGTAACCTGAACGACAAAGCAGAATGGATTAGTGAACTGCATCGTAGTGCTGTTCACACGCCCACTAAAGGCGCCGGGATTGCACCAGATCTTCATATAGGCAGCCATCGATGATGTTGTCGTCGATCCGATTCCTTCGTTTGGTAGAGGGATGACTGTAAACACGTCACTGTCGCACGGGCAGGCTGATGCTTTCATATCGTTGAGATGGCAGGACAGCCTGCTGGTGTTGCTTATCGCTCAAGATATCGGTACGGCGGGGAAGTGAATTCATGCCGTAACCTGAACGACAAAGCAGAATAGATTAGTGAACTGCATCGTAGTGCTGTTCACACGTCTACTTATCGTATTCGACTGAACGTGGCATACATGAACAGTTACGTGTACAAAATAAGGTGTACCACAAGTCTATGTTTTGCTAACTATGGCATCACAGAAACAGTGCAGCACACTACTAGAATCCCCCGGGTATCACGATGAGAGGCAGCTGTTCAAACAAGAAATGGACATGATCTGCCATGAACAATTAACCTTTCACAACAAATTAGGCCCTGTGCGTGGACTTTCTAAACAACGTCGGGTCATAATGTCATTGATACGTTTCCTATCCGACATAGGCCTTGCCGTAAAGCTTTTATTATGATATATCTCACACAGCGAAGCCTTGATTCACCTGATACCGTAATGTAATGTAAATAGTTTTATCAGCATCACAAGACCACAGCCTTTATTTTCATGTCTTTCTTCTCTCTCCGTTGAAATATTTCTGTCCCCTTCCACATCCCCATACAGAGTAGCATGCCAGTGATATATAGACGCCAGAAAAATGCCTGTTTTTCCTAATAAAAAGTTTCTCTCTCTCTATTATCAGTATAACATGAAGCACTGTTGTCCTGAAAATACCAAGTACCTGAGAAACAATTTGATTTGACCAACAAACAATTCAACAATTCGACCATGTGATTCACGCATCAGTGGGAGATAAAATAAAATAGAGTCGGTGAGTGGATACTGTTGCCCATGTTTTGTTCATCAGCAGCCCTTTTCCTAGGGCTGAGAAAGCCAGTTATGGGGGAAAACAAGCAAGTTTGTTCTAATAGATATACACTGATTGTAAGTGACCCCTCCCATTGGTAGTGTACATCAAAAATAAATTTTTTGTTGTGAAGAAAATTTACAGGCACAAAATTTCCACATAAAACGGAAAGGCAATGCATAGCACAATGAAATAAATTATGCATATTTAGCACGACGGCTTTGGTGCTTGATTTATGACTGAGTCTCCGCAAAAAGTCCCTTTTTGCCAATTTGCAAAAATATTTCTCAATAAATGTTTGTTTCTAGATGTTTAAGCTATCTTTAGCAGACAGTACGTGAGCAAATAAAAAATTAAAAGAAGTTTCGCGGCTAAAAGGTTGGCGCTGTTTTTACAAAAATTGCCCTTACCCACGTGTTTTCTCATCTCTTTGCTAAGTCTGTGTAGCCTTTGAAGTAATATAAGGTTTTAGTTGTAACGTCTCGTGAAAGAAGTATAACAACATAATGCTTCAAAACAAACTGTATCACCTTACCCAGATTAAAGGTTGCGAACGCATAATGTAATCCTGCCTAATGTTTCTTTTTTGGCAGCATATTTTAATGGCAGTGACGTGACCACACAATTCTTTGAATGAAGATACTTTACTAAGGTCACTCTCACATAGTTCGCTTTCACCTCAATATTTTCTAGAAGAATCACTTGTGGTCGGGTTTCGGGTTGAGGCGTTTCCCTTGAAATGACCAATACATATATATATATTTAAAGACGTACGTAAAGATAATAAATAAAACCCTCAGCACGTACATGAAGGAAAAAAAGTACATTTCACGGCCCATTTTTTTTGTTATGCTATATATGCCAACGAAAGTGCAGGGGATGTTTTCAGAAGTAGTCCTAATATACTTATGAAGAAGGAAAAGTGGATGAAAAGATAACTTGCACTGGGCAGTGACCGAGCCTGAGGCCTTGGAATAACGCGTCCGATGCTTTGCCAACTGAACTACAGTGGCGGCTGACCCGCTGTGCACATTGTGAGGTATGCATGTTCATCTGCCAACTTGTAATAACATCAAGTGCTACTTGACGCCAACAGGCAAATAATGGCTGTTCCACTCGCCATAATGCATGCTACTGGTGGCGAAGACCCACGATCCTACACCCCACGTTTATTGCACATATATACAACAGTAAGTGGACAGCCACCATGATAGCTCAGCCGGTAGAGTGTTTTATTCAAAGGTCGAAGGTTCAGTCCATGCCGACGGCAAGTTCTCTTTTCTTTCTTCGCAATTATACAACGAACACTTCAAAAAATATCCCCAACAATTTCCTTGGCATGAGTGTCTGTGAGTTGTCTGCATATACATGGCATTCATATCAATAACAATTTAAGCTGCGTTCATTATAGGCAGGCTTTGACAACTTGAGCTGCATAATGTGTTTTCGGAGCTCGCACTCGCATGTTGCCGTTTTCGCGAAAGATGTTGCATAATATTTTTAATTCCCGACAGAAGGCGTCACATGGCCAGGCAGTCACCGAAACCCGCCTGCGTTTTTGTTTGCCTTTTTGCTACATCTCCTAGACACATCAGTACATAAAAGAAACTTGTGACTCAGAAATGAACACGTTTAGGTTAAACCGCATTACAGCCCACAGTACTAGGCGGGGCATTGAAATGCTCTTACCTTTGTTAGAAATGCTGCACATCATCCCCTCGTGGAAGTTTGTTGCGTTCCTTGAACAATTCTCGCGAGAAGAAATGATTGTTGCCAACTGCATCAAAGAGCTTTCGGGATTTGCTTCACCATTTTTACCCCAACCAATGACAAAGGCAGTCTCTCCTTCCTTGTAAAACAGCTCCCCTCGCATTTGATCTGAAATTATAACACACGTTTCATTTAACTTGAGAACAATTTTGGCCACCGAACGTGTTTATAATTTTTGGTACAGAAGGTTATGACAAAAGTCGATTCTTGCAGTCTGAAACGTACGCATATTGTGCACCAGAATTTGCTGAACAAACGGGTTACATATTAGAGAAATGTTGTGTTGCGTGCATTTCCGTGATAAAAGTTACTAAATGCCTTACTCGTAACTCGAACAAAAAAGAACGCATCATTGTCCTAACTTACCTAAAAAAAAAGGTAACGAGTTGCTAATACTGTTGCCCCACAATCGAAAATTTCAGTTGATGTGTGTTTGTTGAAGCGAACCACAATATGAAATTTTAACTTGCACATTTATGATTGACATAAAATAAAAAAATGGCAGATCCTATGTACTGTGAGAACCGATAATATGAGAAGCACGAATGAGAAAGGTTGATATGCCACTTCAAAATGAGCACAACGTTACGAGATGGACGTAAATTATGCCGTACACGAGTTTCATGCCATAATTATCATGTTTGGACGTGTCATTTACTTTCATCATCTATTTACGTCATGTGATAGCAAATTTAGTATACCGTGACATGATATGTGGAAATATTTGCACAAACGTACAGGACCTTAGCCATGTTATAGTGACTTGAAGTTGCCTGTAGAATTACATGTGATGATTTCCGACTTTTTGGCACATGTTGAAGTCATCTCTATCAAACTGACACTATAGGAAATACGAGATTTAATCATACAGGCTGCACGTTAAGAAAACATTACCAAACTTACTTAGGCGAGTTGGTGTACATAATTGAATAGGCATTATTCAGACAACATTAGGAAGGTATCGTCGAAGCAGGATGTTCAGGTTGTCTTCTCAGTCCCGTGTAAACTGTCGAGATTGTGCAGTATGACTAGTCGGGAAGCCTTACCGCAATGCTCGACTCGGCACAAAAACAGGCTCACAGAGTGTGTGTCGAATGTGGTTTATGATATTTCTCTAAGTGGTGGCCGTTGCTGCATTGGGCAGACAGGCAGACGTTTTAATGAACGCGCAAAAGAGCACGACTTGAATGTACGCAATAAAGGAGGTAGCCACCTAGCCGAGCATTATAGGCGTTGTGGCTGCACACCTACTTCGAACGGCACGGAACTATTAAAAAGAGCCAAAGATAGGACTGAACGCGAAAGCGTTGAGGGGTTTTTTTAAAGCTCGTAATCACTGTGTAAACATGCCTTCTGTCACTCCAACGGACGCTGAGGTTGATTCTTTGATAGTTTTTTTGACGTGTTATCTCGCTCTTGCAGAGTTCCCCGTGTTTTAGTCTTTTATCCTGTATACGTGGCGCTTGTTTTCTTTGACACAAATTAGTTTGTATTCACAGAGCGCGTCTTCACTCCCCGGCAATGGGATGTTTTTGTTTGCTTTAGTCCGCTCCTGTGCGTGTTTTTATTGCTTCTGCATGCCTTTGCTAAGCGCGGGTCTACCGGAAGCGCAAAATAAATGTGGGTTTATTGGGTGACGCTGATATCTGTTCTCTAGGTTTCATCCCAACGTGCTTTCCGTCTTTTTATCGCTTCTTCCTTAAGTCACTCGCTTTAATTATAGCCTGGACCAGTTAAACATTTCACGCCCTGCTGTTCGTCAGCTTTTATTTTTAAGGTACCGTTTTTATAGTATAAAACATGTGCTGTCTAAGTTTCGAAGTTCAGTTTGCAATGTATGATAGGCGTGCATTCTCTTTCATATTTGGTCCCACTGTAAGCCTTTGCATTTTTCTTTTGTTTTTGCTTATAAATCTTGGGGTTCCGTTTTATCGTACTTTTCTTGCTCTTCTACGAAGAGGTAATGCAGGAAGGTTTCGGCGCATAAAAAGGTTTGTTTAAGTGCAAATAAACTAAGGTGTAGACGTTAAACCCCACATATCAGTCAAACTTAGTTGTAAGTCAGCACTGGTCTGTGTTTTTTCTCTTTTTGGTAGGATCTTCGTCTGATTCGCGCTGAAGTCTATCCAATACAACAGTCATGGGTCTTTTCCGGGTCCTACAGCGACAGAGTGGCCGTTGGTTAGACTTGAAAAGTAGCCAAATTTAAAAATAAGTGTAGCCAAACTAGCAGTGCGATTTAACAATATCGCCAAAATTGTACCCTAATAGAAAAAAATGGCTTTAAGATTAATATGCAAATTGTGATACTGAACATACAAAAAAAGCAATGAAATCAAAATGTTTCCTACTTTCTTGGTCTGCGATCCACAGGATCTTGCATAAGTGATGAATTTAATAATTGTGGTGCTGTTAGGCTTAAATTAATACAGAGTGAAATAAAAGAAAGAAACAGTATACAACAAATAAAAAAAAATATTCTATCTAACAGACTAGTGCACTGAAGATTGGTGGTTATATACTGCTTCATGAAAATGATGACTGCCGCCACTTGATTGGTGAGTAACGGCATTTCACTTGTCTGTTGCGCACAGTAGAAAACCTTGATAATTTATAAAATAGAATGCCTACCCGATAGTAAAGCGGTGAGATGTGTGGAATAAAGATAAAATAAATTCGGCGCAAACGACTCGGCAGCGTTACAATCTGTGAAATATGTCAAAACTTATTTGTGCTGTAAAAGACTAAAAGGAAAGGCTAGCTGTAGTGACTGTTATGCTAGTGGTGTGATTGTAAATATAGTTAAAGTATTACTCTTCCTGTGTGTATTACGGTATATATAAAACTATATAAACATTTGTGACAAGTGACATGTTAAGATCAAACGCTGTTTTGTCGCTAAACAGGGAGACTGTTATTGTTTTGGTCGACAAAATTAACCTTGAATTTTGTGACATTAAGTTCCACAAACCATATATTGCACAAGCTGGAGGCAGAGCAAAAATTTAGGATTTTAAGCGCTAAGTTTTGTGAGCCTGTATATAGTATTGCACAATAGAGCTCTTGCCCAAGACAGTAACTTTCAAACATTCCTGCCAAGATGCCAGAAGAAACATTATGTGTTGAAGCAGTTTTTCCTTGACAATAATAAACTGGCCTCTTTCTGTATCCCTTCAAGATGTAGAAGGAAACAATTCTGCGTGATTGGTTGCAAATGTCACCGAAAAACGGTATTCCTCTGCCGACCATACAACACGAGGCTCATCCATGACCGTTTATGTTCTGTGCTGCCCCAGACAACGCCTTCCTGTGTTGAATCGGCTGCAGCTGGTTCGCATTCATAAACTAGAGGAGGCGTTGCGTGACATGTGGATGGCAGCGTTGTCGGGAAACCTGAGCTCGTGTAGAACCCAAACCAATGTAAGATGTCAGCACCATACCAATAGCAGAGGGCTTCTTTTTTTTATTATTCATAGCCTAGCATTTTCAGCACATTGTTAGGAACACTATATATTTTTTAGAATTACGCATATATGTGCTTTCCAATGAAGGAACATACTATCTAAATGTTACGTAATGATCTCGTGCCTAAGATATGCGTAAAATTTGCTTTTCACCGACAATGTTAACAAGTATGAAAGCAGCCACCAGTTCAAGATGGCTGGGAGCTGAGCTAGTGGTCAAGAGAGTGGATTGTTCGGCGAATCGGTGCTTTGACAGAGAAACCGCCATGAGAGCACAACTAAACACAACACACAAGAAGAAACAGACGAGGTCTGGTGCTAACTGCGAACAGGCTTTATTGCAGGAAGATCCGCACCTTTATACATCAATACCCTTGCAGGAGCACCGCCACAACAACCAACAAACTTCAAAACGGGTGAAAAAGAAAAAAAAAGGCAGCATATCCACGGGGTGAATGATGGAGAGTTAGGTGAAGCATCCGTCCGTTCATTCATTCTTGCTTCTGTCCGTCAATGCGTCGGTCTGTGTGACCGTCCACGCGTCCATCCATCCGTCCATGCGTGCGTCTGTTTGTGCGTCCATGCGTCCATCCATGCGTCCATCCCAGCATTCGTCGATGCATCCGCCCCTGCGTCAATCCATGCGTCCATCCGTCCGTGCAGCCATCCGCGCTTTCGTCTATGCATCTGTCTGTGTGTCCGTCCGTCCATCTAGTAAACACTCCAAGTACATCATTTAACCATATGGTGTAGTAGCGCAAATTCGACAGGGACGAAGAGGACAAGAAAACACGACAGTCGTGTTTTCTTGTCCTCTTCGTCCCCGTCGAATTTGCGCTACTACACCATATGGTTAAATGATGTCTCACCAACTAGCCCAGCTCTCAACCCTACTGAACTCCAAGTACCACCATCTCGAATCCTTTCATCATATATTCCGCGTATAGAAGCACCACCATCCAGCGGACAATCAAAAGGCTAACGAGAGGTGGCACACGCACACTTTCTCACAGCTTGCGCTTCTTGTCTACTTCCCACCTTTAACCATATATATATATATATATATATATATATATATATATATATATATATATATATATATATATATATATATATATATATATATATATATATATATGTGTGTGTGTGTGTGTGTGTGTGTGTGTGTGTGTGTGTGTGTGTGGTTATAACAGAAGAAAAAAAAAGTGCCGACCTGTAACTGTATCTCCTTACAACGACACCTCCACAGGTCAGCACAGGAATGGTGTATGGGGAATAAAAGACATAGGGAGGGAAAGATTGGAAAAGAGAAAAAAAAGAGATGTGAGGGTCATTCGATCTGCTTCCTGCAACGGACACACAAGCCCCCACGCGCCATGCACAGCTGACTAGGAAAGCTCCTAAGGGCCGGAGAGGTATCGTCATCGAGAGGACAATGGGTTGGATTGGCGCGTCGTAGAAAGCGCGTGATCTCTGTACGGAAAAAAAAACGTGGTCCGTTGCACTCACTAATATGAGTCCAGTGGACCTCGATGGGGAGGCACTAATGCTCCTTCAGGTCACAAGCGCTCAAATAGCGCCGAATTCTTGAGGAAGGTGATAAGGGCAGCTTGCGTGCGCTGCACCAGGCATGCGTGCGCACGG